CAACCTTACCCTGAATATGTAAGTGTTGAGGGACAACCTTGCTCTTTGGACCTCTGATTTACCTTTAGAATGAGGTATTTTATAGCTAAATATTTTTGGATTTGGTGGAATTTCGAATTTGGGAATATGTAATTGTGCCCCCAAACTAAAAAAACAAAATCTATTGTTCAGAAAAGCATTACATAGTGTGAGTCTAAAATTTCTATTCTACTGTTTGGAAAGACTTCTTATACAATGCAAATTGGGATCTTTTACAAACAATTTGTGGGTCGTTCCAAATCAAATCTTGGTTTTCACACTCAAGTTTTTAGTACTGTTTTGTTTAGTAAAATGAAAAACATTAAATTGATGACGATAAGAAGAGAAAATGTGAGGTGCATGTTCATGCGAAGATATTGTGCTATTGCAGTTGGTTCTACCATTCTGCTTGTTGCTTGCCATAACCCTTGTAAAAATGAGAATAAGAATGGGGAAGAGCTTGAATTTTTTCCCAGTTTGCCAAGATATTTAACAGCTTTGTAAGTGCCAGGAGAGCATCTTGGCATATTATGTCTTCAATTGAGCCGAAGGAAGAGTCAAAGGGAAATGAGAAAAATGTTAATCTGATTAAGGGTTACTGCCAGAAGATAGAGGAGGAACCCTCTTCTGGCTCTGGAGAAGCCACTGTATTCTACCATAATATGCGAGTTATGTTGGCCTGGATAATCCAGTATTTTTGGTGCTTATTTGATATGAGTTGCTTTGTAGCAGTTTACTCGTTTTTTGGATGAATTACAACTCTTTTCTCATATTAGTATCCTCTTTTATCTTGTTTATTAAAATAAATTATCTCCAGATCTCATATTGAGTATATTTTAAAAAGATATCATACAAGAGAGTAGTTGTTTTCAGAGCAGATAAAAGAAAGTTGTTTTTCACGCGTCTATTATACAAGTGGGCAGCTCATTTGTTCCACGGTCTCACTTGCAGGGTCTTAGTGAATTTTGTATGTTTTTCACACCTCTCTTATACAAGTGGTGCACATGCAAGGAGGCAGTGGACTCTACTTATGCTTTTGCCCTTCCCTTTTTGGGGAAGGGCAATGTGACTCGGCTACTTCTTTTATTTAGTTTGGTAATGCAAATCATACTTATCAAAGGGCCTTTGGCTTAGCGGTATAACCTCCATATCCTCAAAGAGTAAGGGAGGGGTTTGAGCCCGAGCATGGGCAAAAGATTGGAGCCACAGTTAAGTGGCTAAGAATAAATCAATGAATTATTAAAGATGGGACCCACAGTTTAGTGGCTAAGAATGAATCAATGAATTATAGGTGTCTTCAGTTTATTCCGTAAACTCAAATCTTATATATATATATATATATATATATATATATATATATATATATATATATATATATATATATATATATGTTTACGATGAAAACATGAGTGTGTGAGTTTCTTGCCAATGAAGGAAAAAATATGAACACAATAAGACTATAAAGTATGAACACAAACAATCTCTCTGTCTCTCTTGTGGTATATAGATGTACAAGAGTGTTTGTTTACTGTTCAATTTACAGGTTACTCATTGATTCAATCAGGGTTGGGACCAGGACTGTTGGTGATAACATTTGCTTGGTTCAGATCCATCATTTGGTACGAACACAAACAAACATTTCTCATTGTATAATTGAATTTTGCATCTGATATGTTCTTTTCAACATCTCTATTTTCGTCAATAGAAACATACAAGACTGTTCCCTTCTTGGACGTATGCATTTTGCATGGTGAATTAATGCATATTGACGTATATATAGAAATGCATGTTGAATTAATGCATATTGACATATAATGCATATTGACGTATACATACAAATGTATGGTGAATTAATGCATATTGACATATAATGCGTATTGTTGTATACGTATAAATGTATGGTGAATTAATGCATTTTGACTTTGTGTTCACTTGATGTGTCCTCTTTTTGCAATTTCCTTGTTAAACTGCTTTTGGTATTGCAAATACAGATCTCCCTTCAACACACCCAATCCATTTTGGCCTAGCCCTCTACTTCTCCATCTTTTACTACGAGATAATGAATTATCCTGAAAGGTAATTCTTATATTCCTAGCGTCACATTTTGAAAGCTTTTGTATCATTCTCATCCTATTTTTCTGACATAAATTGATGATTTATTTTTGTTACTAAACTTGCAGTTTCTGCCATTACAAGCTTTTGATGAGGCAATTGCAGAGTTGGGCACATTTGAGTGAGGAGTCATAAAAGGACAGCACCCTGATTATGCAAGTGTTGAGAGACAACCTTACTCTTTGGACCTCTGATTTAACTGAAGATTGAGGTATTTTATAGCTAGAAGATTTCGGATTAGGTGGAATTTTGAATTTAGGGATATGGATTTGTGCCCCCAAACTAAAAAACAAAATCTATTGTTAAGAAAAGCTTTTCATACTGTGGGTCTATTATTACTGATCTTGATGTGGATCTGTTTGTTTGATGTTTCAGCATTGTGTTTAGGTATGAAATTGTATAATGACGAGTATAGCTATGTTTCGTTGCTTTGATACAATTTTGATTCTACCAATTTTGAAAAGATTATTGCTTTTTTTGGGAGATGCGGGTACAACATTGATCGATTGAGTTACTTGTATTGGATTGATTTGTTTAATTGAGAGTTAGGTTGTGCTTTTCGATGTTGATGTATGTAGGAGATTGAATGTTTCAATGCTGGAATTATGTGATTATGTTTATTGGGATTCGTCCAACATTGTGATGTTTGGTTGAGATTTGATACTTTTGAACACTTTGGGCCTCAATGAAGATGGGCATTGTTGTGCTTTACCATTTGACTATGTATTTTTTGAGCTTATTGTGTCCAGAGTTTTGTTCAACAATGCTTGATATGGTTTGAATTGTTAACTGATAGTATTCGTATGCAGTTCAAGTCTTGAAGAGTTGTTTAATGATGTTTTTGCATGTATTTTTGGTATAGAAATTGTGTGTGGTAATAGTCTATTCTTTCCGATGGTTGGGAAACCTTTTATCGGTTGTGAAAACATTGAATGATTTTGGATTATGAAGATTTAAGTTCTTGTGGAATAGAATAAATTATCTCTATAAATCATATTGAAATATATTCTAAATAATATTATATAAGAGAATAGTTGTTTTAAGATATGAGAATATATATATATATATATATATATATATATATATATATATATATATATATATTCCATGCATCTATTGTACAGGTGGGCTGTTCATTTGTTCCAGGGTCTCACTTGCAGGGTCATAGTGAATTTCCACTGTTTTTGCACATCTTTTATAAGGGTGATGCACATGTAAGGAGGCAGTGAGACTACTGAAAGGCTATGAGGCACGTGCATATCTTTTGACACGACTCTTTAACTTTTTTATACATAGAAATGCATGGTGAATTAATGAATATTGACATATATTTCTGTTCGTTCACTTGATGTGTCCTCTTTTTGCTATTTCCTTGTTAGGCTGCTTCTGCTACTGCAAATACAAATCTCCCTTCAACACACCCCATCCGTCTTGGCCTTGCTCTCAACTTCTGTCTTTTACTACGAGATAATGAATTCTCCTGAAAGGTAATTCTCATATTTCTGGAATCGCCTTTTGTATTATTCTCATCCTATTTTTGCAACATAGATTGATGATTTAAAAAAAAAAAAAAACTTGTAGTTATTGGTACTGTTTTGTTTCATAAAATGCAAAACAGTAAATAGATGAAGAATGGTCAGGTAAGAAGAGAAAATGTGAGGTGCATGTTGATTCGAAACAGTAAATATTGTGCTGTTGCAATTGGGTCTACCATTCTGCTTGTTGCTTGCCATAACCCTTTTAACAATGAGAAGAAAAATGGGGAACAGCTTGAATTTCCTCCCAGTTTGTCAAGATATTTAACCGCTTTATGTTTCTTTCAGCTTCTTTTAATTTTTTAATTTTCGTATAGAAGCATGTATGAGTTATGAAAGTTAATATCTGGTGCAGGTGAGGACAGCTTTAAAGGTGAAAGAAGCCAAAGCTGCAGAACCAGAGGTTAGAGTTTCGCTTGATTTTTTGAGTGTCGCCCAACTCTTCTATCAAATACTGAATGGGGCCTTTTTTTTTTTTATCTTTTTCTTTTTTGTATAAATCTAAAAATTAAATTATTTTGCAGCATTAATGGAGTAACCAAGATACATGAGGCAGTTGAAAATAGAATACTACTATGCAAACTGCAAACTCGGTTTTTTCAGCTTTTCTCGCGAAGGGAAGCATTGGACCAGTGTAGAAGGCTTCTTACAATGGAATTAATCTTTTTGTGCCATCCAAAAGCCAGAAGATGAGGAGATTTCTAGGCTGACCTGCTCTACGTTTTTGTTTCTAAGTTGTTCCTTTGTTTCTGCTTCTGCTACTTCATGAACTCTCAACCTTTCTTTTGAGGAGGAAAAATTATACTATTTGGACTGAATGCTTCTAATAACTAGTTGAATTTAGGATTAGGCTGGTCTTGAACTAGATTTTCGCATATTGAGTGAAACCTCCTCGCCTATATAAATTTACTAATTATATCATTTTTATGCCACTTGGGTACCTTTTTTTTTGTTTTTTTTTTTAAAAAATTAACCTGGCAAGAAAAGAAGCCAAATGCCATACGGCATCTACAGGCAAGAGCAGCGGCCAAAACATGGAACCAAAAATACATGGAACAACAACATACACAGAAGCAACCAATACTAACTAACACCCTTTATAGTCAAGATCACTGGCTTGACAAACTAGGAAAAGGTGTCAGTTACAGTAGGATAAAACCCAAATTAAGACATATAATCCTTAGCTGTCAAATCAAGAATATATCCTGGGAGATGAACAAGAGCCATATCGTGATGAAGGAAATCTCTGGAAAGCTTCGCAATAGCATGAGCAACTTCATTGCCATTTCGATGGACATAGCTAAGTCGAGAGAATGAAAATCTCTAAAGCGCCACTTAAATATCAAAAGCAATTGACTGAATTTCTGTCGGCCCAGGAGCATCACCCATCACTGCTTGAACCACAACCTTAGAATCACATTCAAACCAAACATGAGAAACTGAACAAGAACCAGCCCAAAGAATAGCTTTACGCAGACAAATAGCCTCAGCTAAGGTTGTACTAGCAGCGAGAAAAGGAGAAAATACTACAGCCTGCACAATAGTTCCCAAAGAATCACGAAAAACAGCTCCACCACCCCCAATCTGAGAAGAGGCTAAAAACGATGCATCCACATTACATTTAAGCACGCCCTCTCCTGGAGGCAGCCATCGGGAAGAAGAAAAAGAAGAATGCTGTAAAAGGCGAGCAACAGATAACCCAGGAGACAAGCACACACTAGAAGATGATGATGCATTCGTAAATTCCCAAAACTGAGAACAAGCCATCAAAGCAACCCTGCGAGCATCCCATATCACGCCATCAAAAACACACTTATTTCTGGCCGTCCAAATTCCCCAACAAAAATATACCACCATACCCAACACATTCAGTCCCCCGTCCATATCCTTCCACTTTCTAACCAAATGCAACCACCAAGTAGAGAAGGAAGAAGGAGGAGTGGATGCAAAATCAAACCTAAGCGGAGAAAGCTTCCATACATGGATAGAATGAGGGCATAGAAACAACAAATGCTTAATTGATTCCTCATCTATTCCACACCTAGGACACACCACCTCCGCCTCTAAATCGTGAGCAATAATGAGCTGTCGAACTGGGAGAGCCCTCTGACAACACTTCCATAAAAAATGTTGAATTTTAGGTTGAGTTTTGCATTTCCAAATGCTGGTTCAAAACAACTTATTAAAAGAAGAAACCATAGAATCCTCCTGAACTCGACCACTAACCTGACGCCAAAGACGATAAGCTAAACAATAGGCAGAGCGCACTGTAAATTCTCCTGTTAGCTCGAGATCCCATGCCAATTTGTCATTTCTGGAAAACAGGCTGAAAGAACACCGAATAATAGCAGCCATAATGGACGACGGAAATAAAGAAGAAAGTAACACCACATTTCAACGATTAGTGGGAATATCAAATAAATCCGCCACCAAATTTGGCCCTGCCAAACGAGGAGGCCTAGACAGCTTTCCTGGAATACCGAGAACCCAGCGATCAGACCATATATTAATAGATTGACCATTCCCCACAATCCACCTAGATCCCTCCGCAATGAGATGTTGTGTAGACCAAATACTCCGCCAAGCCCAAGATGGATTAGATCCCAACGGAGCATCCAAAAAGGAACACTGGCGAAAATATTTAGCCTTAAAAAACCCAAAAGCTAAACCCTGTTTATTTACCAGAAAATTCCAACCATGCTTAGCCAACAAGGCATCATTAAAAGCCTCCAAACTGCGAAAACCTAAACCCCCTTCTTCTTTAGCTTCACATAATAAATCTCATTTAGCCAAGTGAATATTTTGAGAGTCTCCCTTTTTGCCCCACCAGAATTGGCAACTTAAAACAAGACATCACATATGTAGGTAATGCACTCAAGACTGATTTAATTAAGGTTTCCTTACCAGCCGGGGACAACAAAAGGGATTTCCAAGTTGATAGACGATTCTCCACTCGCTCTGAGATGAACCGAAAAACATCCCACTTGGATCTTCCTATAATTGCTGGCATTCCCAAATATTTAGCACTAAGCCATACCTCTCGAATTTCCAACAATTGATATAAGTTATTCCGTACCTCAAGACTGGTATTTTTGGAGAAAAAAATAGCAGATTTAAATAAATTAATCTGCTGTCCCGAAGCCCGCTCATACCTCTTAAGAAGAGTTTTAAGAAAGGCAACTTTAGAATGGGAAGCCTGGCAGAAAACAATCGAATCATCCGCAAAAAATAAATGTGAGATAGCTAGCACATGGGGACAGATACGAATACCAGATAAAACTCTATGCTGAAGAGCAACCTGCATGGATATAGATAGTGCCTCTGCACACAAAATAAATAAATATGGAGACAATGGATCCCCTTATCTAAGCCTGCGCGTAGGTCAGAACAAACCCACAGGGCGCCCATTTATCACCACAGAATAAGACACCATAGATATACAAGCTTTTATAATGTTAATCCAATGAGAGTGAAAGCCCAATTGTCCTAGCATTGCCAATAAAAAAGGCCATTCAATACGATCATAGGCTTTACTTATATCAAGCTTCAAAGCAAGGAAAACCTTTTTCCCTTTACGCTTATTTTTAAGATAATGAAGTATTTCATGAGAAATCAAAAATATTATCAGTAATATGTCGCCCAATGACAAAAGCACTTTGGGAATCATTAACAATGGAGGGAAGCAAATCTCTTAGACGATTGGAAATCATTTTAACAATAATCCGGTAAGAGACATTGCATAAAGAAATAGGGCGATAATGGGTAACCTTGGTTGGGGATGCAATTTTAGGAATTAAAACTATATTAGTATGATTCATATTATTTAAAAGATACCCCGAATGCATAAAGCTATGTACAACATCAATTACCTCTTTTTTATAATATGCCAATATTGCTGATAGAATAATAGTGTCATCCCATCCGGTCCCGGCGCTTTGCATGGTTGTATATAAAAAATGGCTCTATATATTTCCGTCTTGGAAGGCTCCCGAAGAAGACTTTGATTCATGTCAGGAGTAACACGTGGAGATACATGCCAGAGAAAGGAATCAATACCCTCCGGAGAAGTGGTTCGGAACAAATCCTGGAAATAAGTCAGGAAACTCTCCTGGATATGGGAATCATCCTCCAACCATCGGCCAAATGAATCCTCAACCCCAGATATATGGTTACGTCTATTCCGTCGAATAGTAAAGGTATGGAAGAATTTAGAGTTCCGATCCCCTAACTGCAGCCAGTTAATCCGAGCTTTTTGGAACCAAAATAATTTTTCCTGACGCCAAAAGGAATGTAAATTACGCTCTACTTCAAGAACTTGCTCATGATCATAGTCGTCCACGGTTTCCTTTAATTGTTTCAACCGATTTTCCGCTTTTTCAATATTCAGCCTAGCATTATGAGTTGAAGTCCTACCCTAGTGAACTAGAGCTCTTTTACAAGTTTTAAGTTTTTCGGACCATCAAAACAGATTGGAACCATACACCGGTCTGCCCCACGCCTCCCGAATAAGATCACCACATTTAGGATCAGACAACCAATGAGCATCAAAATGAAATTAACACTGTTTTTTTATGAAATACCGGCACAAGATCAAGTAGCAAAGAACAATGATCTGATTCGGCAACAGTAAGATGACGAAGTCTAGCCTGAGGAAACATCCTACTCCACTCCTTACTCGCTAAAGCCCGATCCAATCTCTCCTGAATATGAGCCATTCTTCGACGATGATTACTCCATGTAAATGGATACCCAAGAAACCTTAAATCAATAAGACCACAATCATTTACTAATTTTCGAAAATTCTTGAGATCCCAATAAGGTTTAGGAATCCCACCCCTTTTTTCTTGCGACAATAACAAATCATTAAAATCACCAAGTAGCAGCCAACGATCAGCCCAAAGCTTCTGCATCCGTTTAAGATACTCCCATTGTGCAGCACGAATAACATCATCAGTGCTAGCATAAATAAACGACATAACCCATGTACCTTTACCGGCTACACACAATTCGACAGTAATTTGGTAATCACTGTAATCAACAACACGAACACGAAATAAGTTTTCCACCCGCCAGAAAATGGCAAGGCCCCCTGCTGACCTAACTGAGTCAAGACACCAACAAAAATCCACCTTTAATTTGCGTTTCAGTTGGTCAATTGTTCGTGATTTATTTTTAGTTTTCAGCAAAATGATGATATCCGGTGAGTGAATCCGATTAAGATGTAATAACTGTCGAACGGTGAGAGAGTTCCCCACCCCTTGGCAATTCCATACCAAAATTCGTAAAGAACTATTGTGAGGGACACAATTATGAACAGTAGAATAACAGGGTGGAGAGCACAAACCTGAAGTATTCTGCAGAGAGGAGGAACTGGCCGAGGGAGATCGAATACTAAAAGAACCAACTGAGTTGTGATCATCAGTTAAGACCACTTGGGTACTTAGGAGGCTCTCTTTTTGAAAAAAAAAATATACAATACCCGAGTTCTTGCACGTGGTATGTGTAGGTGCCCCATTTAAATGTCTGGGCATGCAGGAAGTGATTTATTCCTTTATATTTAAATTATATTATATTAATTTTTATATATATATATAATGTACTTTTATTGTTTTCTTAAATTTTTTTATTCTAGAACCCTTAGCTATGGCTAATTAAATAATGGCTAATATGTATTAATGTGCCCAACTAAGAAGGGAACTTTCACCAAAACTCTTATGTTCCAAGTCCTAAAACCACCACCACCTTCCCCCACAATCACATCCGCTTTTTATCACCACCACCACTGACTTCCACTATTACCACCGCCTTCCATCACCTCCTTCCATCACCGCCGCTGCCTTCAACTTTCACCACCGCCCACCACTTTCCACCACCACCGTCGCCACCGTTTTTCACCACAGCCACCATATTCACCACCACTACCTTCCACCACCGCCACCACTAACACCATTGCTACCACATTCCACCGCTACCACCTTCCATCACCACCATTGCCGCCGCCTTTTACCACAACCACCGTCTTCCATTGCCACTGCCTTCCACTGCCACCGCCTTCCACTGCCACCGCCTTCAACCACCACCATCACCTACATCACTATTTCCTTCCACCACCACCACCACCACAATATTGTTGCCGCCTTCCACCAACACCACTGCCGCCTTCCACCACTGCCGCCGTCTTCCAACCCCACCACCTACACCACTACTGCTTCCACCTCCACCAACGCCACTGCCACCATTTATTTTTAAAAAAATTATAGAAGAATGCCATTTTGTTAATTTAATTTACTTGTTACTGAGAGATATATTTTGGAGAACTCAATTTGAAATTTATTACATTCTAAATTTTAAATTGTTCGAACCAAACATTAATACTAAGTTTGGTGTGTAGGAATAAAATGGAATGGAATGCCCATTCCAACCATTCATTTGTTTGGTGTGCAGGAATGGAATAGAATGACCATTCGATTGGAATGAAAATTCATTCCAGGAAATGAAAATTCATTCCATTACTAAACCTATGGAATGGCCATTCCATTCCATAGTAAGATTAAATATTTTTGTAATATTCCCAATAAGTCCTTCATCATATTCCAATAACAGCCAAAAATCTTTTGCATAAACAAAAAAATCTTTCACAATCCATTTTTCACGTTTCTCGAGCTTCTTTATTAGACGTGGTAAAAGTCTTTCACCTTCCATCTCTTCTAAATATACCCTGCCATTGACAAAAAGTTACAGGACCTTCAACCATATATATATATATATATTAGCTTTTACATCAGCTTCTTAGGTTAAGTATTCAACTAATTTTTGGATAAAACAAATTTATTTGTGTGTCTTTAATCATGGTGGATTGGTTTAGTTGTAAAACTTGAATCCGTCAAAGATTTAAAGCCAATTCTAGAATAATATTTTATTTTATTTTAAGGTTTTTCGATATTTTTTTTCAATGGCAATATTGGGCATCTTATAACATCCTATAATTCATCATTAGAATATTAATTAGATTGATTTTATTAAAAAGTAATATAGGTCAATGAAAAGGGTATTTTTGAGAAAAATCATTCCATTCCAGATTTAATGATAGTCAACCAAACAATAAAATGGCAATAATCATTCCATTCTATAACGATTCATCGTGTCACACCAAACAATACTCATTCCAGTCCATTCTCATTCTCATTTCATTCCAAGTTGCATTCCATTCCATTCCATTCCATTCTTGCACACTAAATGTAGCCTAATGGTTATTATCATTCCATTCCTATATATTTTATATTTACAATTAAACAATAGAATGAGGATGGCCATTCCCATTCTCATTTCATTCCTACTTGCCTTCCATTACCATT